ACGTAAAAATCCCAAGATTATAGTGTAATTTAAGAAAAAAATATTCTTAAGCATATAATTAGATTTTAAATATGTTTTTTATATTTAATATTTATTTTTTGTATTTTTCTAAAGAAATAAAAATTCAAAAAATATATTAAAATTAATATTTATATAAAATTAAAAATATAAATTTTTATAATTTAGAAAAAATCAAATTCGTAATTATTTATGTTTAATATTATATTACACAAAAATATAATTAATATATTTATTAAAAAATTATTTTATAATATAATTTCAGAAAATTAAATTAGGATTATATTCCAATTTCAAAATAATTTATTTTAAAGATATCCATTAATCGGGATCGTTTAAAGAAAATATAATTATAAATAATAATATAATAATAATTAATAATAATATAAATAACCACATCCACAACCACAACCGCAACCGCAACCACAACCGCAACCACAACCACAACCACAACCACCACAACAACAACAACGACAACAACAACAACCACAACAACAACCACCACAACCAAAACCACAGCCACAATCACAACAACCACAACAAGCACAACAACCACAACAAGCACAACAAGCACAACAAGCACAACAAGCACAACAAGCACAACAAGCACAACAAGCACAACAAGCACAACAAGCACAACAAGCACAACAAGCACAACAAGCACAACAAGCACAAGCACAACCACACCACAGCCACAACCCAACGGCACATAGCTTGCGCGTTGCGGGCTCGCCGGCTGGTAGATGTGGCAAAACAGCTGGAATAAGGTGAACGCTGTCAGTTTCAGTGGAGTTTCAGAAAGCACGATAAAACACATTACAGTAGGGCTTGGGGATCGAAATTAGGTGGTGTTTTGCTGTTTGGCAGGTACCCCAGCGGCACATAGCTTGTGCCTTGCCGGCTGTCTACCTATCTATCTATCTATCTACCTACCTAGCTATCTATCTATCTGTCTAGCTATCTAGCTATCTAGCTGTCTATCTATCTATCTATCTATATCTATATCTATATCTATATCTATATCTCTATCTCTATCTCTATCTCTATCTCTATCTATCTATCTATCTATCTATATCTATCTATCTATCTATCTATCTATCTATGTATCTATCTATCTATCTATCTATCTATCTATCTATCTATCTATCTATCTATCTATCTATCTATCTATCTATCTATCTATC